TTTTTTTTTTTTTTTACGTTTTTAATTTTTTTTTGTTTTTGGGGAAGTTTTAGGTGAAGCTCAATAAATTTGAATTTCATTAAAAGGTGTAATACAGTTTAAATGTACCTGTCATTTTTGAAGTTACCGGTACCAATATTGTCATGTACCTGTGGGTATATAAATATGTCACACATCTTACTTGTACTGTAAGGTTACGATGTTTATGACAAGCATTTTTTTGAATCTTCAAGTCAAAAACCAGAGGATGAGTATTACAGGCACCAGATTGCTTTTCAGGAATTCTTCTGTGTAATTCTACTACTTGTAAACGCAAATATATTAAAAAACTGTAATAAAAAATGAGCTATTATCCAAGGAAATGTGGCTAAATAAGTGCACTAGGGTAGGATATTCCCTTTAAACACTACCTATAATGTCTTTGATCAAAGAAAAGTACAAAGCAAAGCAAACTAACACCTCGTGTCCAATTTCAAACAATCTGCTGATTGTCTTTGACTTGTATATTGTTCTCTCTTAATCAAAAATATGTCCTTGAATGCTGATAACTGAATCTGAATGATACATCTACATGAAGATTAATTTAAAAAAATAGTGTAACACACAGAAAAAGTGAACACACAATGTTATAATTATAGGGAATGTTTTTTTTTCTGTACTGTGTAGATATATACATGTATGCATGTCTTTATGTCGTGCATATTTTAAGCAGTGTTTCTTGGCACAGAAATGATTTAAATCAGTTCATTTATACATAGCTAAAAGAGGTACCTTATTGTTTATGGATATGCAAAAATCTGAATCACATAGCATAGTACCATAACAATTAAACAAACCATACAACAATAGGCACAGGTTTTTATATAGTGAACGTGGCACATAAGTACTGTGTGAGCTGGTAGCTTCTATAGTACACTTTCACAGTCTTTCAACTTAATCCAGTTGCTGTTCCTGCAATGATTATATAACATAGGCAGAGCATTCCCTCTCAGAAAGTTTGAATTGCAGAAATTATATTTTATCAATATGTATGTCGCCTTGCTTTTAAATGAATGCATTACCAAAGCAATGTAGCATCAAATGAAGCAGCTGGGGCTGCTGCTGGTTCTGTAACATGGATTAGGCCCCCTTCACACAGAATATAACAGTCCTATGACATCCAGGACATCTAATAAAGATACAACATATGATATATAATGTAATATATTATAAAATGTAAAAAAAAAAAAAAAAAAAAAAACTGCCAACCTACCACATTACTACTGCTCTCGGGATCACATCCAGACAAGTATGTTTTTTAACTATCTAATTGACAAATACAGGAGGTTTCAGCACCACCATCATCAATTTTAGGGGGAGGCATGGAGGAGAATACGCGGCACTAAAGTAGAGTATCCTCATCACTTTACCTGTAGCATGACTGTCTTCCCTTTTGTTCCTATGGTGTGCTAAGCACTTTTCAACCACTGGGAGACAAATGTTAAAAGAAGCCCAGTACACATGAATCCTAATTTGGTAGGGGATCAAAAAAATTTATCTAAAAATCTTTCCAGCCGCACAAGGTAAATTGTGTGCATGCACAAAACAGCTGACATAATATATCATATTCTCCACATGAGAACCCCTACATCCTGATGGGTTGTGTGAAGGGGGCCCTAAGTGGCCATGTTTGGCTCCTAAATGTGAAGGAATCTCTAAATAAATCCTTACTCATATGAAGAACAAAGTAACAATAATTTAAAAAAAAATTTCTATTTTTTTTCTGAAAAAATAACCAACATTGTTACAAGTACAATACATGTATAGTATTAAAATGAAGCTTAGATTTATTCAGTTATGTATTTCAATCTTCCTTTAATATATATAATCTTTATCTATTGGTATACTTCCCTGTATTCCCTATCAGCTCCTAACATCCCTTTTAGAAACTCCATTAACTTTGGTTTTAATATGTTGGCATACTAGAGAGAAAACTTTTTTTATCACAAGAAACAAAGTCAGAGATTAAAATCTGCATAGCTTTGTTTTAAGGTTTAGTGTTTCATAGAAAAAATATACTTCTTGATAATCTTGTGATTACAATATTTGTGTTTACTAACAATATGACACAAAGAAATAGAGAACTTTGGAGCATATGGTAAGTGTGATAGGCAATACACCTCAGAAAGGCAACTGCTATCAAAGTCAGATTACCCTGATGTTAAAAACATGGCTACCATGTTTTTTTCCCCATCTCCTCCGTGAATTACTGACTTAACCTTCAATATTAAGACTGTAAGGCAATCTAAGGTAACTTTCCATACATTTTGGGTTTTACATCGCTTGCTATGATCATGCATGGATGCAAATTGTGCATTGTTTGTGCCTTATAATAGGCAATTAAGCAGACCTAAATGTATGTACAATAGTTTGTAGCGTATCTCAAAAAATTACCATGTTGTCAATGCATTTCAGCACTTCAATTAAAAGGAAACTTCTGTAATCAGCACATTCATCACAAAGAGGGATATATATATATATAAAATCCACTTTTTAAACTGACTTGCTGAGGAACATTGTTTTCAGATTTTAACTTGTTGAGATGTACATTTATATAATCCCTTGTATATCCTCTGAACACCTGTATACATAGTTATACATTGATGAGCTACAGGATGTTTTTTTTAATTGTCAGGAATCGTGTATAGCTACTGCATCCTGACTTTCTGAACAATTAGCCATACACCTGTAGTTAAGATATGCTGATGCTGTAAACTTATGGTGTGAGATTCCCAAGCAGGTCAGGGGTGACGTATCCTACAGGCATCGGGGCTTTGAGGGGATGCTGTGGTTGGCACAAAGACGGAGACTGGCTGGGAGGTGGGTTAAGGAGCAAACTGTGATGCGTGTCCAACTCCTGCACCACTGTGTAGTCTGCAACAGGGGCAAAAAGCTGAGACTGGGGAGACTCAGGGAGAATATATGGTGACTGATTGGTATCTGGCATGGCTGCAGGTTTGGTCTCCATTGGTTGTGGCTGTATGGTTTGGTACCCTGACCCAGGCACCGGAGAGCTGGGGGGAGTGCTGGTCTGTATGGCGTCACTCTCAGCTGAGTATTCGCTTCCCTCTGGAATCACGACAAGCATCTGAAAACGGGGCTCATTTTTTGTCTGTTCCTCTATCCCCTCTTTGTCTTCATTTTTCTTTTCTCCTTTCTGTGTCTTACTCTCTGAACTTGAGGTGTTGTCCTGGATTTTAGGTTGCTGGCCAGGGGACAACACCACCCCCCCAGAGGGCATAACATTGCTGACCTGGGCATATAAGTCTGTGTTGACCCAAGTCTGTGGCCCCCTGATTTGAGTTTGGATAAGCGGCCTTTCACCTGTCTCCGAGGCTGGAGTATCAACGGTATCCTCGTTGTCCTCAGGTTGGCCCGGCAGCAAGGACGCTATGAGCATCTGGCTGTCATGTGCAGGCAGATTTGTGTTGTCACTGCTGGCCTGGCCCGAGTCATCATCAGGGTAGCTAGAGGAGAAAGCATGACGAAAAAAAACCCAGGGGAAAACTTTTATTATGAGACATCAGTCTGTATAACAACATATACATAAAAACGTTTACATAAAAAAATCCCTGGATTACCTGATGGTGCTACAGCCCTCTGTAGTCCTGTGGGGGAGACCAAGGAGCTTCTGGGTATCTGAATTGTAATTATCTTCCTTATCTTCACCTTCTACATCCTCTTCATCCACCTCAATGAACTCCACCCAAGGCTCCTCTTGATAGAAATCTGTTGCATAGGCTGGTAGGCCATCTCCACCCCCACCATTCAGGATAAAGTTCAACTCTTCCAGTTTCCCCTTCTGCATTTGAAAAAAAAAAAAAGATTTATCAGCAACGTTTTAGGCTTGACTTAAAAATAATACAACTCACACATGAGCTCTGTTTTTGATATCATGAAAAACTTCATAATTAGGGCTGCCACAGTTGTAACATTATAATATATTGTTACGTTATCTGAGTTTTTGCTGTTTTTTTGGTGTAAGTGAACTTCCTGTCACAGAAAGGACCTTTGCTGGAGGCTGGGCCGACCCCTGTTGCTTCACAACTGAAAATGATTCTAAATCAAGATGACAACGTGTATATAAGGAGGCAAATGATCACCTCTCTCGCCGATGATTACCCCTGATGGTATTAAAGCCAAAGACCTAAACCAGGAATATCCTTCTTGTTGAAATGTGTCCCCTGATTCAAACCCCTACAGATTAATGCTACCACCCCTCCATCTCTCAAGTAAGCAAATCAATCAGTTATCAGTTGTCATCAACCAACTCCCTTCTGATCAGTCTGCTTTCTCCCCTCAGACCAACCAGAATGTTTAACTGCTTTCCTGCAGTTCTCCGCTTCCAGATTGTTGTTGCTTTTTGTAAATACAATTTTAAGACTAATTGGTTCTCCATTTGATTCTATATGAACGGTCAATGAACTACAAACTGGCATGACATTTATGTCATGAATATTAGACATGTTTAAATTAAAATATTAATAGAACGGAAACCGAAATGAATGTGATACCTTCAACAATTCTGAATCAATGCCTTTGATTTTGGGCGTAGGAACAGGAGGCAAGAGAATCATCATCAATCTGAAATGATAGAAGATTGTGGTAAAATGGATACATCACAGCAGCTTTTGAAAATATTTTTTTTCTTATTCTTAGTGCTGAATTTAGTACACAGTTTTAAACCTAGATGGTCACTTAGCGGAATAATATCATACTAATATCAACATTGAGAAGTTTCAAACTTATGTGGATGAGATAGTTTTTTTTAGCAGGATTTGCAGTTTTCCTTTGCAGGACTTGTCTGGGTGTGCTACATCTATTGTGTTTAAGGGTAACGGTTATTTAAGGTCAAATCAATTTATTTTTGACTGGATTAAGATGGGAGAACTATAAATAAAAACCAGAGACATCAGATGCTTTTAAAAAATATGTACCTGCCAGGCTCAGAACAATAGGACCCAATATTCAAGAAGGACAGACAGTTTAATTTCTTAAAGAGTTTTTTTAGAAACTGAACTGCAGTGAAAGAGTCAGTGTCTAACAATCTAACGACCACAGGTTCGTAACCACATCTATCTGGCAGAGGATGATAATGAACACGAGTCACTAAGCTGGTCTTACAGTTCAATCCGAACTCAGAGGATGATGTTGGTTCCAACCAGTTTGCTTCCAACAAAAGAATATTGAAATGTCAATAGAGGATGTCAAAAACAACATGTTGCCACTTCTGGACTGTGCTCTGCACACTGAGGATAATGGAAGTCTTAATACTGAGGTTTACCGGAAACCTACACATACAGGCCAATTCCTTAATTTATACTCGCATCAACCATTGGAAGATAAACTTTCTGTGGCCAGAGTTACCAGGCCACCAGGCTCTCTGACCACCATCAGTAGGCAATGCAGGTGAAATGTCTTGCCCAAGGACACAACAACACTGAAAGCCAGAGCTGGAACCATCAACCCTTCCATTTCAGGGCAAGCTCCTACATCAGATGCCACTGTCACCCATATGTGTCAGAGGTTTCTAAGTAAACACAGACAAAATAGCAGTAAATTTCAAATCTACCAACACACTCAGACAAAAACTAATTCATCCTAAAAACAGAACAACCAAATTTAAGGTCAGTGGTGCTTCAAATGCTGCTACAGTGAGGACTGTACAGCCTCCTATATAGGAGAAACTAAACAACAACTTAATAACCACATGGAACAGTATAGGAGAGCCAACAGCTCTAGATAAGCTTCAGCTGCATACTTGCACCTCAGAAACAAAGGACACACCTTTGAAGTCCAAACTGTTCAGATTTTGGACAAGGAGGACAGAAAGTTTGAAAGATGCATCAAGGAAGCTACCTTTGTGAAAAGAGAAAAGCCATAACTGAACTGAGGGGGAGGGTAGTGGTTTCAGATTCCAAGCATTTAAAGTACTGTCATGGAACTCATCCCAAAGAGATTATATAAGCAGTCACATTATGATTCATCACATAACCCAAGCACAACAAAAAGCCCCAACAACTTAGAAGAACAAGGGCCAGCTATTTCTTTTGCATCTGACTTGGAATATGTGCAGGAGGAAGGGGCTCCATGCTGCTTAAATTAAGAAGCACTCCAACTACAGACTGCTCCGGCATGAGCCAACAGAATTGACAAAGACTCCTGGAGAGGTGTCAAAACGTTTTCAAAGAACCGAGCAAACGTACGGTTATCTTAAAATTTAAGCCTGTTTGTAGCACTCTGAGAGCCTTCATCGCAAACTTCATGGGGCTATGGAAAACCACACTGGAGGCCAACTTCAAGCCACTCGGATGTATGAAGGTGTTTCCCACTTTGACCTTGGGGTTTCCCGCCAATACTAGGGCTGGGTATTGTTCAAAAATTTTCGGTTCCGGTACCAATACCGATACCTTCACTTTGATACCGGTTCCTGAGCGATACTTTTTTTGATACCAGTTTTATAATATCAATTCGAAGAAAAAGAAAATTACACAACATAAAAAAGTACAAATCTTGAGTTTTATTTTAAGCTCTGATTTTTCCATTTACATTTTTCCTCTTACATAAAAAAAAAAATAAAAAAATCAGTGTCTAATATTCACTGTTACATTGTGAGGACCTTTTTACTTAGCAGTTTTCCTTTAGAAAAATTACCATGTCTGACAAACGAGCCCGTTGAATTGGATCCTACTGACAACGCACAGCTGGTATGTGGGGGACTGAGCGGCTCAGAAATATTGGAAGGCAGGATGAACTGACTGCACTGATTAAGTTTTCAGGATTTTCCCACTTAAAAACATAATAAAACTACTTTATTCCCACTGATCACAGCAAATATAGCTGCAAGGCAAAGAAAGGATAGAGTAGCTCCGCCCAATGGGCATCAGACACACTTTTGCACCGCGCAGCCAGAGCAGCAAAGCTTCTTCAGCCGCGCGTCAGAAGCTGGAACAAGCAGCAAAAAGGAAGCAGCAGACGTGATTTTGCTGCTCTTGCTGCGTCCAGTTTGAAAGCAGAATTATTCACTCCGCTCTGGCTTTGCACTGCCCACAGGCTGCTGAGAGGAGGATGGTCGCGCCGGCTGCGGTCCGCTCTTCTTGCAGTCAACGCCGAGCAACTTTCTGCTCTTAAATTGTTTCCATGCACAATGTATTGCATTGCGCACTATTGGCATCAGTCTTAATAAAGTGAAGCCACACTTTTGACCTGGGGGACATTTTAAAGGGGTTCCACGACACTCGCAACCAGTTCACAACAGATACACATCAACCCTGGCTGTAGGCATGACCACCTGTGTATTTTTCCTGGATGACGCAATCACGTTAAGTGTTACAGCCAATCACCGAAACTTGGTACCGAAAGACGAGGCATGTTTCGATACTCTGTAGAACCAAAGCATTTCGGTCGGTACCATAAAAAAAACCAGCCCTAGCCAATACACTGCAAAGATGCTGCTGTACACTATGCCAGCCACTTGTTAATTGCACTCCATGTAAGCTGTCCCTGCAGGCATCTTACACCCTGCAGTTATTTGCTTGATTTTCTCAGGGGCCTCTTTGTGCAGTCTACACCTGGGGTTTTGTCTGGTGTGGTAGATCTGGGCCTCTATTTGCTCTGGTGTTCAGGGCCTGCTCCTGTGCAGCCATGATGAGTGCCTCTGTGGTGTCCTTCAGTCCAGTTCTGTCTAGCCATTAGTAGGATTTCCTTATATACGCCACTTTAGCTAGGTTTTAGTGTTATATCCTGTGTAGTGACTTGTCCTCACATGACGGAATCTCCAACACCTCATCTTCTGTTCCCCATTGCCTGACACAGTCACTGAGCACATCATCTGTTGTAGACTTGTCCTTGATGAACTTATGGATCTTGGATGTTTCATCCTGGATAGTGGCTCTCACGCTCACTAGCCCTCCTTCTCCTTGCGTCTGGGGTTGGAACCCTCCATGTATGGTTAGGAGCTTTCTTGTCTTAACATCCGGGGCCTGCATCTCATCCTTTAGCCAGCAGGATATCTGATTACTGGTCGAGTGTAGCTATTTATTGCCCAGGACTTGTTCTTGCCATTAAACAGGCGTCTAAGGACCTGCCTTACTCGTTTTAGGTATTTGGCCATAGCTGTTTTCCTTGTCACCTCTTCAAGGTTGCCATTTGCTTGTGGGATTGCGGGGAAATTGTAACTGTCCTCAATGTCTGCTATTGTTTCTTCTGTAAGTGAGATCCCCTCTGTGTGGATTACCTTCCCTCTCTTAGTCACCATCCGACCACACCTGTCTAGTCCGAATGACATCCCGATGTCTATGCTGTAGATTCGGGTGGTATGGATCAGTGAGACAATGTCTTACTCATTCTTTGCGAACAGCTTGATGTCATCCATGTAGAGGAGGTCACTGATTGTGGCCCCGTTCCTAAATCAGTATCCATATATGGCTGAGGGGTTTAGACCTATGCAGAACAACAGTGGGGATATATATATATATATATATATATATATATATATATATATATATATATATAT